AATAATATGTAATATAATAGAAACCGCCATTGTGTTATGGGTTGATTACATGTAATATATATAGAGAAATATTGCAAGGTAATAGAGTTTGACTAGATAACTAAAACCTAACTAGATAACCGAATCATACTAGAATCCTAATATCCTATAATATCTAATATAATAATATACCCTAACACGCCCCCACAGTCGAAACGTGACGAACGTGAAGACTGGACAATCACTTGCTGGCACGTAGATTTGTAGGTTTTAAGTTGTAGAGCATGTGCATATCCTGCACCACAAAACAGTTCACTCTAATTGGTATTGGTGATAATTAAATAGTTTTTTCTTGGAATTAAATTGATTAAACCACTTGCTATCCAATTTGTTCATTGGTTTTGAGCAAATGCATTAAATTCTGTTCTGCTGTTGGATGAAACCTCTGATATAAAATTGCAAGTCCCCATTACTTCTAGTTGGTGAACACAATAAATATCTATGATTTAATGGCTCACCTAAAACAATTTATGTAGGTTATAGTGTTTTTTTTCGCAACCCAATGCAGCAAGATTTAAATTATATGCAGGGTATAGTTCACTTTGCACCCTGAATTATGGGGTGTCTCGCAAATACACCCCTCAATTATGAAACAGACCAAATATTTCCTCATAATTGACATTTCTTTTAAGTAATGATGATATCACTTTCTTATTACCAACGTTGATTATAGCCTTAGCATTTTTGGACATTTTTACCCCTGTATTGGTGATATATATTTTGTAATTGTTGAAAGTTTATATCTACCTTATTTTTTTACCTTTATTTTCCCCATTTTTTCATTTGAAATATTTTTTTTTAATTTCACTATAATGTCCAACTTTAGTTGTCTTCATAAGCTCAATTGTCATATGGCAATTGTAAGGGCATCTTTCACCCATCTCCATATCCCATTTTTTTAAATTTAATTTAGGTGTTTTTAACCTCCCAACTATAATCACTAAATCAGCATTACACCTAAAATTATGATGATTTTGTTTTATTCTCCCATTGTGGTCAAACCACATATCACCATATTACCGAATCCTATATTTTCACCAAAATTTTTGGTGAACAAATTTGCAACTCCCACCCTACCACCATATTCCCATTTTTTTTCACCAAATCCTATTTTTACTATCAAATATAGAAATTAAAATAGAATTTGGTGTAATCAACACCATTTTATAATTAGCATATAAAATTATTATATTAACTAATTTCATGCGATTACTAATTTATAAACATATTTACAGAAAATATAATTAGTGTTAATTAATGAATTAGTGTTCAAAAGATAAATACATTTATAATAATAATAATAATAATAATAATAATAATAATAATAATTATTATTATTATTATTATTATTATTATTATTATTATTATTATTATTATTATTATTATTATTATTATTATTATTATTATTATTATTATTAAATAAATAAATATAAATATGTTAGGTCAAACAAGGTTTTAATGAGACCCCTTTGACCTTCAAAATTATCAATGGAATAATTTGTTTTGCCAAAAAAACTGTTGTATTGTTTTTTATTTTTAAATCGTGTTGTAATATTTTTATGCATTTAGTTCTGAAATTATTGTTTATGTGTGGTTTTATTATATGTATAATAATTTACGTTTATTTTCATTCATGTTTCAAAAAGTTTTGAAAATTTAGTATAATTTTAAGACTATATAATCAATAATATTATTACTTATAATCATATATATAATCATTATTTTTAAAATTAAAATAGACTAAAATTACGATTACCATTAAATTTATAATTTTTTGATTTATTTTGTGAAATACCATGGGAGACCAAACCAAATGCTATTCTCTATAAATAGAAAAATGGTGAAATATTATTATTTTATTGTTTAGTGTAAAATTTGATGGAATCGGTGGGAGACCAAATACACTATTCCTTCACAACAAAAAATAGTGAAATTATAGAATAGTGTGTTAAGGGTGGGAGATAAACCTATTTTTTCACCACAAGAAAATATGATTTGGGGAAAAAATAGTGATTAGGTTGGAAGATGATCTAACGAAGCCCCATTAGTAACAAAATAACTAATTTCTTTAATTAAACCAAGTATCTCAAAACAAGACATCAAATCAGAGTAAATATCTCTAAACATAAGTCAAACCTCCATCATATTCAAACTCCTGAATTACAAAAATAAGTGATCTGCCATTATAACTTATAGGGAAGTATCTGATATATTTCGTAATTGAGGAGTGTGTATGCACACACCTCATAATTTAGAGGTGCAAAGTGAACTTTGCCCATATATATTATGTTTATATATATAATATGTGAGTGTGTGTGTGTGTATGATATTGCTTCATCAGTGTGCCAGTTTTTTAGTGTGTTCTAGTTTTACAGACACATTTACTTGTCTGCTGGCTCTCTTCCAGACATGGAAAAAGACAGAATTGCGAGTGGTGTGACAATTCATGGGACACATTTTGTCATGAATATAACCATAAAATAAAATTTAATTTGGCCCCAATGGTTAGAGAAAGATGGTCAAATTACGCCGCGGCTGAAGTAATGTTAATTTACAAAAAAACACCTCATGTTTGGATATTTACAATTATTCCATCGATCAATTATATATTGTCTTACGAAAAAATACGCATTTAGTAAGTAAATGTGACACCCCAAATGTGGACGTGTTAGACAATATGTAGTTGATGGGGTCGTTGTATATTTGTAATTACCGAAATAAAAGAGGTTTTTCGTAATTTGACATTAACTCAAGGGGTGGCCGTAATTTGCCTTCAAGAGATTATAGGTACTGCCTTGTGTTTTGGTTTGGAAATTGGATCAAAAAACCATATGTTTTTATTTTTATATGGCTTTACAACACATGTATTCAAAGGAATTTGAACTCCAGACATCTTGTCAAATACCACCAAGAGATATGTTCCGATACCAATAATTGTGCCATCTTGGTCAAAAAAAAATCCTTTGGTTCTCGTATGGTTGTAAAGAGTCGCCCGGGCCTCGTCACTGCAACCCCCTGATAGGGCACCCCTTTTCCCGAAGTTATAGGGCTACTTTGCCGAGTTTCTTAGAAATAGTTGTCTTGTGCCCTTAGGTATTCTCTACCTACCCACCTGTATCGGTTTTGGGTACAGGTAGTAGTACCCCTTTGTTTAAAGGTCGTTTGAGCCTTTCCTAGGAGTATGACATGGGTTACTTCAGCCCTATAGCGCCTGGTAGGGTGAAAATATGACGAATCAGATCGAAATTAGCACTTTCAAGAAAACAAACTTTGTTTTTAGTTAAAAAAACTAATTCAAATTCTCTTTTTTTTTGTTTTAATAATTCGGAAACATCGAAAGTGATAAGAAACAAATGTTTCGAAATTAGAATTTGTAAGATCGAAATGAGCGAGATTTGGAATTTTCAATTCTTTTGTCACCTGTGATATAAAAATATAATAACATTATAATATAAGTGTAGTTTCCAAATATAAATTGGAATTTTCTGAAATAAATTTGAAATTTGAAGATTAGAATCACATCGGAAATCGAAATCAAACATGTATTCCACTTGTGTTAAAAAATATTAGAAATGTTGTTCTAAAATTAAAATTCATTCAAATCGAAATGGTTGAAGTTGAGAAATACCGTTCCAATTTCCACCATTAGCCCGACCGGTTGAGCCGCCATTTGACAATTGGCACGATTCATCATGATAAGAAATGAAAAAAAAATGAAAAAAATTGGATGTATATGATAAACATTCAATTGAATGGGGTAAAGAAGTTATCGGTGTAAAATGATTTATGAGATTGGGTGATTTAGAACATCTATATAAATAACTTCAACCAAAAGCTGAAGCTGTATCATTTAATATAAATCCAATATTACATTGTAATTTTTTTTTTTTTTTTCCTTTTATTATATTTAAGATTTATGTCAGGTTATTAATTCATTGAACTTGATTCCTTTTCGATTTCAGTTCATGGTCCATGATGAATATGCTCTTTTAATTTGAATATATTTTTACAATCAAATCACTTCTAAATTATTCATCAAAGATTATAGGAAAAAAAAACCCTACTTGAGCCAGTACAATTTTTAGCATAGTTTTTTTTTCTTTAAATAAACTTCATCTAATTGATGAATCGAAAATATACACAAGAAAAATCAAACAAATTCCATTCAAGTCTGATTGCTCGAACTCTTATACTTAACCTAAAAGAATACACTCTCTTTTAATTTCTACAAGTAAACAAATCAACTGTAAAAATGACACTACATATATAGAGCAAAAAGAAGGAAAGAAAAAAAAAAGGGGGAATTATTGGAGCAAGAACTTCTAATAAGCCGAAGAACGCCGCTTCGCCTCGACATATAATATTGTAATAATAAAATAAAACACATAAAATCAAAAGTAAATATGACAAGTTTTCATTGTACTAATGCTAGAGCTAAGAGGGGACAAAAGTGCCAATGTAACTGAATCCCATAATGAAGAACGCTATCGCCTGCACGTATAAGCATATGTAGTAGTGGTTTTTGCCAAAAACGACGTCGTAACAACCACAGAAGAACAAGTATGCCCCCGTCGCTACCTCCAGGAAATGAACCCTGATCAATAAAAAAATTACAAAATTAAAAAAAAATATATATATAATTATTATCTGCTTGAAAAAGTCTCAAAAAAAAAATGTATGTTGTACCTTTCGCCGATTTTGAAACGAGGTTTCTTAAAAGCTTTGAGTGCCGATTTCAATTTGAAAGCATCTCCGAGTTTCTCCGTCACAATCCACTCGTTGACTCTCCCCGCCTCCAACAAGCCGATGAAGGTAGCTTTTGTCCGGTGCAACGACATTACGTTTTCGAATAGTATCCAAAATACTAGCAAGTGGAGTGATCTACACCGTTAAATAAATTCGGGTGAGTATGAGATTAATTAATTACATGGTAAGGGGGTGATGGCCCCCCACTGCTGTTAATTTTTTTTTTTTTTTTAATATTTTATATAGAGATTTGTTATCTTTCGAGCAGTACAATATTACATAATATATACGATTATATATATTATAATATGTACCTTGGAGTTCCAACAGCATTGAGGATGGTGATAATCGAAGGAATGTAAATGGCGCCCCATTTAGGGATATAAACTTCGGGCACCAACACGGTAGCCGGGAGTACGACGCAGTAAAACACGAACGTGACTATGTGCGCTACAATCTTCCTTATGAAGAAGAAACTGTATATCACATGAACCTTCTTCCACAATGTTACTTTCTGCATCCAAATAAATAATCACATATATACGAGTTTTTTTTTTTCTCGATAAATATAAACTTGTATACTACATTATTGAGGATCGAAGACATTTTCGAGATTACTGTTGAAAATTAACCTTGTTTCTTATGATCTCCACAACCATTTTTCTAAACAAATTAGCGGGCCCGCACGACCAACGATGTTGTTGATACCGGTAAGCCTTGAATGTGCTTGGCAATTCGTTTTTTACCTGAAAATATTAAATACAATTTTTATTTTTTTATGTCTTGTGACACATTTCATTTTATTTTTATTTTTTTTAATTTTATTTTACCTGAAGTGAACCAAGATACAAGAATTTCCATCCTTTGAGACTAGCGCGTACCGCTAAGTCCATATCCTCAACCGTCGTTCGATCCTTCCATCCACCGGCCTCGTCAATTGCCGCAATTCTCCACACACCAGCAGTTCCTATAGTATTTTTTTTACAAAAAAAAAATAATATTTTTTTTTTATTGAATCCAAATATAATAATTCAACTTATTGGTAGACAACATAATTAAAATTAATGCAATTATTTTGCTGCATAGCTAGCTAGTAGCTGCATGCATTATACAATTTAGGCATGGACCAACATTTGTTGAGTAAGCTAGAAAATTAATGATGCATGCCTTACATTAATTCTAAAAATGCATTAATAGTTGGACATTTATTTAATCAATAATACAATAAATTATTATTATAATTATAATAATTATTATTACCATTGAAGCCAAAGAAAGCATAAGTGGATGAGCCCACTTCTTGCTCCACTGTAAAATGATAGTCAAGTGACATTTCTTGCATCCTTGTCATCAAACATTCATCTGCATTAACTGTGTAATAAAAAAAATAAAAAGTCAAATTATTTTCAGAGAAATTGCAATTTTTCCTATCATTAGCAAAATTGCATTAATAGAAATATGCTTTATATAAAAATAGGAAAAAATAATGACAAAATAAAGTGCAACAGAAATAAATGAACATTGTCGGTAACTCCAGGCTGAGAGGGCCACCACTCATAGAGGCATTCAGCACATGGAATTGCTGGCTTTGTAGAAAAAAAGGGATATGTGAAATGACATAAATACCCTTTGTCCAAAATAAATAAAGGAATGTGTACTTTCTCCTTTGTATCTTTTTACCATTTCAAAGAATATATATATATATATATAAAGAATAAATATTACAGCTTTTTTTTTTTATTTAGGGAAAATTACGGCTACGTCTAAGGTAATAGTCAAATTACGAAAAAAACCTATCTTGTTTGAGTAGTTACAGCCACCCTTCCTTTTAAATATTTTTACATAATTTATATAATTCGGTTATTTACAGAACCAAATCGTATATTCAGCTCGGTAAACGATTTGAAATGCTGGCGTACCGAAATTTCGGTTCGATTTTACCAATCTAACATCCCTAAATTTACTTGCGGATGAGTTTTTTCATAAGATAATACATAGTTGAGAAGAGGCTGTAATTACCCCAACAGAAGGGGGGTTTCGTAATTAGACTATACTTCAGGGGTGACCATAATTTGCCGTTTTATTTATTTATTATTATTTATTTATTTGAGTCAAATGTCGAAATTTCGTCTGAGTAATTATGAAAGACTGATAATAAAAAAAATGTACACCACAATTTATAGTTTTGAAACAGTGATATTAGAGTGGTGGATACACAGTCGTTGTCACCCTCCTGCAGCACTTGTTAACATCTCACCGACACTCTATTTATTCTTTAATTACGAGTCGTTAAGGTTAATCAAACACGTGATTACGAAGCATGTTCGAGCAAAACTTTCACACGACGAATGTCTCATAGTACCATGATTACGAACATGTAAGAAAACGACGAATAATAATAATAAAAACATAATTCGACACGTACCGAATTTCCAACGCGCCTGAACCAAGGCTAGTTCGGGATTATGCACTAGAAACGGAATTGTTTTCCACAGAAAATCAGGCTCTGGCTGAAAATCCGCGTCGAAAATTGCGACAAAATCGCATTGCTTTACGTAAGAGTGTTTTAAGCCCTGTTTCAGTGCACCTGCTTTGTAGCCATTTCGGTTGTCCCTAATTTCGTACTTAATATTAATCCCTTTGCTTGCCCATCTTTGACACTCTATTTCCACCATATTCTAAAAAAAAAAAACACACAAGATTTTATTATTAATAATTATAAAAATGAAAATTAGCTAATTTGATATATATAAGAAATGAAGAACTAATTACCTTGATAATGGGATCAGTTGAGTCATCAAGAACCTGAACTATGATTCGATCCGACGGCCACGACAGCCCGCATGCAGCTCCGATCGATAGCTGATACACCTGCGTAAGAATTACAAGTAAAGCCGAGTTAAACAACGAGCAATTTTTAATAGTTTTTTTGCAAGTTACGAAAACAAAAACAAAAAAAAAAAAAAAAAACAAGAAAGAAAGAAAAGTGACGTGACCTCTTTTTCATTGTACATTGGGATTTGAACAAGAACCATAGGGTAAGAAGAGTTCCCGAGCTCCAAATCGTCCTTCAACGGCTCCCATTTGTAGCGTTTATCCGGCTTTCGACCGAAGAGCTTAATCAGACTAATGACGACCGCCATGTAAACCCTCTCGATAAACAACATAGCCGACATCGTTAGGCACAGAAACACGGCAATGTTGAGCAAAGGTACGATTAACGGCGCCTTGATCTGACCCCAAATGATCATGAATTGCTCCGTAATATCATCTCTTGCACCCGAAAAGGGTTCGGGCAATACGGCTGTCGATGAAAACTGGTCCATTTTCTGAGTTAACTCGTCCTCTGTTTTTTCTTACCTAGAAAAAAAAAACAGAGGAAAACAGAGGAAAACAGGGGAGGGTTTCTCTGAGGAATGAGGATCTATATATACATATATATGTATGTATATAGAGGCGCACTTTCTCTCTCTTGTTGGCGAAAAGTGGACGAATATTTTTCTTGTAGTTTTGCTTATGAGGGACGCCAAAACAATTGAAGCAGCGGTGGAATGTCAGAAAACACTTTGCTCAAACATATTTACATACACGCAAGTAACCCCATTTACTTTTTTTTTTTTTCTTTTTTTGCAAAAACAAACACTTTTTTCTGGGATTTTTTTTTTTTTGGTTTTGTTTTTAATCAGAAGAAGCAGAAAAAAGATATGCAGGTTTTTTTTTGTTTTTTTTTTTTTAATGGAAATGGTGGGAAAAAGTAATGGTGGAAGGAAGAAAGAAAAAAAACTAAAAAAAACAGAGGAAATGAAGGTAGAGAGAGAAAAAGGAGGGAAAGAGATGGAGGAGTGGTGAGGGAGAGAGAAAGAGAGAGATACAATCACTTTATATAGAAGAGCTCTGTTTTTTCCATAAATCTTTTTTTAGATAAAATTATTTTCCTCCTCCTACTATTTTTTACTATTCTAAAACCACATAAGAAACCTATACTTCACTCTCCGACAGTAAAGAAAACTTCCGGCGAGGGGGGCCTTTGCCGCCGGTGAGATTCCGGCTGTCCTTTTTTTTTTTTTAACTAATTTAATTTATGGGTAAGTAATTATTTGGTGCCGGCTGTTTATTCTTTTGTATGGGGTAATTATAAGCTGTAGACAGATTAACGTTAATTAATTTTCAAATACATTTGAAACGAAGTAATAAATGAAAAAAGGGTCCACAACAGAGGACTGGTGAATTGACAAGATTGCCCTCGTGGGTTGTTGTGTCGCTAACCTCTAACCTCATTAAGAGCGATGTAATTGTAAGGTTAAACAACTAAATTTGGGATCTAAGTAAGCATCACTTTCAAACATTCTTCTTTTTTATTTATTTATTTATTTATCTTATTTATATTTGATTTGATTTTATCTTACTTAGTTTGTGAATTGAGGATGCTTTCATTTTTTTCAAGTTCGAATCCCTTACAAACACTTTTAAATCGAGGTCGTCAAATATGGTTAACATAATATAATTTAGGGTAAATTACAACTGCACCCATGGTAAAGTCTATTGACAAAACCCCCCTTATTTTTCCATAATAATATCCACTCTCCTGCAATTTATAAATTTCTTATATTAACACAGTTTTGCTGGCGGGTGAATGTACGAAATTTACAAACTGCAAAAAGACTGAATCTAATTTCTTAGAAACAAGAGATTTTTTCATCATTTACCTCAGGGAGGTAGTTGTAATTTACCTTATAATTTATATCTTTCATGTAGCTTGCGCACTATCGAACAACAACAAAATTTACCCAACGAGCGACTCCGGATTCTCTTGTCAGTAAAAAAATAGCATCGTTCTAAATGTTCACTAATAATTTAATATCGACAATGTCCGATAAAAATGGTAACGGTGTCAAAATAGAACACACGAATTAGTAGCGGAGCAAAAAAGAATTAAATATAAGATACTTTGATGATGATTATACACGATTGATTGTGATTAAGATAATTGACATTTACTAAATAATAAATGAATGAAAAATGAACACGGAACAAGCATGCTTAATTAGTTAAATATAATTACATTTAGTATCATATAAAGCCAATGACATGCATCATTCAACAACCGGTGTTTGTAATAGAGAGATCTGAAATAAATTATTTTTATTTTTGTAATTAAGGAACCTGTAGCCCAACATATATGTGCACTGCATTTGGTAAACTTGCACTCTCGTACAATAGTTTAAAATCATAAAAGAGACATAAATCACATCGACTAACCATGTGTGATAAGCTTCAGCTAGTGACCGTTGACAAATAAATTATTTTATTATACTGAATTTGAAGTTCCGTGTAATTATGTAGTCAAAATTTTGAAATTCAATTTAATGACACGATATATATATCAAATTCCAATCTTTCAAGTTATGGTTTTCGCGGATCTGCTTTTTTTTTTTCTTGGTTGATGGTAGTTTATGTAAAGTCGGTTGGCTTCGAGTCTGTCCGAGTTTCAAAACATTGATTAGGAGGGATTACTTACAATAAAGTTGATTTGTCGACTTGAGTTCGATAATAATATTTCTACCAATAATAGGAACTAAATGTTGACAAGAACACAAATTAAAGATTCTATGCTTGGATGTTTTGATTTTTTTACCCATTTATTCAGGAAATGAGACGTGGTTTAATTTTTTTCTTGAAAAAATGTCTAAATCATAATTGAGGGATCCTATACTGTGATTTTGAGTCTTTTGACAGCGAGAGTAAAATTAAAACTAAGTTCTTAAATATAAACATAATTTAAAGGTAATTATGTAATTTCTATACATAATTACACCTACACCGATCAAAATTGAATTAAATCAGTCAAAATAAGAAAATCCAGCCAAAAAGCATGTTAAATTAATAAAACTAGCAATTCTCCCCGTGCGATGCACGGGATTGCAGAAAAGGAAGAAAAATTAAATATATAATAATTAGATTGTTTCAAATAAATCCACATCGGTGTGAATAAGAGAGGGAGAGAGAAAGAGTAAACAACAAAATACTATCCGAACATATTAAAATTTTGCTAGTGGATTTTCAAATCTAATTTGATATGAAGGTCATTAGAGAAAAAAAAACTGGAAAATAGGAGATGAAAAAAAAAATATTAAGAAAATTACAAATATGCCATTAGGGTTTCTTAGGTTGCCCTAGCGTTTCTTACTTGATATAAAAATGAGGTAGAATTGATCTAAATACTAGAGAAAAATCGAACAATAATAGGTTGGGGTAAATTAAGTTTATAAAAAAACTGAGAAAATTGATAGAAATAGGTAAAATTGAATAAATGTTTTTGGTAAAACAGATGAAAATATAAAAACATGTCAAAAATATAGTCTGTAAAAAAAGGTTAATCCAATACTCAATAAAAATATATTAAATCAATAAAAAAAAGAGTTTAAAAAAGAGTTAAAATGGTATGGAAGTAAACTAATAGGATCAAAATATGCATCCATGCTATGGACTATGGTTGCATTATCGTTGTCGAGATTTGAAGTTCGCGGAGTTCAAATGCATTAAAAATTTATGAAAGACCAATAAACAATAATACTAATTGTACGCAATTTTTTAAAATCTTTACATAAGAAATAGGGATTAGAGAATTGTTGGGGGTGATGGCCCCCCTCCCTCTAACCCTATGAGGCTATGCTGGCTCCTAATTGGTTGGATTGAGACAAATGAAAATGGTAGGCTCAAATGGGGTGTTGGGGACAACGAAATGATGTTGTAGCTAATTTGTCTCCTAAATTCTTCTGAAATTGTAATGACTTCATTGAATTTATTTTGGTGTTTAGTTCAATTTTTCCTCCCTCGAAAATTATACCATATGTCTGCAATTTGTAGGTGTGTGTTTCTAAGAAAATAGAAAGAAAAAAAGAGAGATGATAATTAGAAAAATAAAATGTTATAAAATAATATATATTATGAAACATCAGGCCATGGTACGATAAATGTGACAGTGGAATGATGTGATTTTGTATCTAAGCATTTCTTATAATATATATTATGTATATATATATACACACACACACAAGAATTTTAATATAAATAATAGGGTAAATTACAAACACCCCCTGAGGTATGGTCAAATTACAAAAACACCCCTCTTGTTTGGATAATTACAACCACCCCCTCAACTCATCAAATTTAGTGGAATTTTCGAGATTATATGGAATATTATCACTTTTGTACCCGTTTTATCCCATTCAAACTCTACATTATGAAGCAAGATGGTCATAATATGTGATTTTTAACTTGTATATATCAATTTGTGGTGCATCGGAAACTGTATTTTTTATACAAAAAGAGTACAAACTAGAGCACATTTCACGGAATCTAGATGACTATGTTGAACTTGGCACCATAAAGGTGGAGGTCTAAGAAAAAATCATAGTTGAGGGGGTAGATGTAATTATCCAAACAAGATGGGGTTTTTTGTAATTTTACCATACCTCAGGGGTGTTTGTAATTTACCCTAAATAGGATGATAATTAATTGGTAGTTGACTTTATGCAGATCATAATCTTTATTTCAAATAAAGAATAAATTAGGATACCACCACCCTTTTAAGATTTACAAAAATTATGTTGCTCAAAAAGCAAAAAGAGAAAGACTTATATAAGAAATCTATTTTGTTTTAAAAATTAGTTAATTACAATTATCACTTGAGGTTGGTTTTTACTTTTTATAGATGTTAAATACGCCGAGTGATCTTGAACCTTTGATCTACACATAATAACACACACGCACTCATGTGCATGTGTACTTATTGAATAGTTATTTATATAGATTTACGATTCAAGACCACCGGTGAAATGCACCAGGTGTAACATTTCGTAGACCTTTGAGGTTTTCATTCACCTTACAAATTCTCCGTTACACCTAGCACAATCTTTGGGATTCGAGAGAATTTTTTTCTAAAAATTATTCCATCCGTTCCATAATCTCTCTCTTTTGAGAATTCTTTTGTTTCATATTATTTGTCACTTTACAGTTCTAATTTCAAATAATTAATAATTAATGTTAAAAAATTATAAATATGTCATTAGGATTTTTTAGGCTGCCCTGACGTTTCTTACTTTTATATATAAAATATATATATATATATATGTATATATATAAAAATATAAAAGTTATATGTTATTTTTTTCTTTATTTATTTACTATTTTTTAATTTCCTGTTCTGGTAAATTAATTCAGGAAATATAATATATTAAACGCAAAAAAGTTGTGGAACAAATGTAGCAACATTAATTGAGAAGCAAAATTCATGGAATATGATGAAATATATAGTGGGGAAAACCAAGTGTACATTGGCTTGTAGAATTTTGGATGAAGCAAAGTTTGATTGTTGAGAAGACAAGAGCCAAACTAATCATGTGTTGGAAAACCCAACACGTGTGGGATCATCTATGTTAACTTTAGTATATGGCTGCTTTTTTGTTGTTCGGGTCGAATCACATATAAGTAAGAAAATAATTGAAACCTGTAGTTATATAAAGACCAGCGGTACCTGAATAAACGTTTGATGCAATTTTAAGGGTTTTGTAGATGCTATATCGACTCGGTGAAATATATCGGTTGAATCTGCACCATTGATCTACGCATAATAATATACACTCACTTATGTGTATGTGTACTTAGTGGGTGTTTATTTGCATGAATTTATGGTGCAAAATCACCTGGTGCTTTTCATCAAGTGTAACATCTTATAAACCGAGATTAAATGGAAATCAAGAATTGGTTTAGGATTCAAGGATACAATTTCTTGAATAAATATTGAAAATGAAGATTTGAATATTGAAGATGAAGATTTAATTTGATTGCTTGTTTAGAAAG